GCCTGTGAGGCTGCCCTGCTTGACGTGGACTTCAACAAGGCCAAGTCTCCGCTGCCAGGCGATGAGACACAGCATACAGGCTGTGTTTTCTGTGACCCTGTCTTCCAGGAGCTGGTAGAGTTGAAGCATGCAGCTTCCTGTCACCCCATGCACCGTGGTGGGCCTGGGAGGAGGCAGGGCCGAGGGCGGGCCCGGGGCCGGAGGCCGCCAGGGAAGCCCAACCCCAGGCGGCCAAAGGACAAGATGTCAGCCCTGGCAGCCTATTTTGTATGACAGCTGTGTCTTCCTTCACCCAGGCTCCAGTTTGGTGCAGACACACCGCAATGGTTGTCTTTGAGCTACTGAAACCATTAAAATACATTTGTCTTCTCCAGAGCAAAATGCTTGCGGCCTTTCACTAGCATTGCAATGCCAGAGGATTCCTGTATCCCTGTGAACTATGGGACTTTCTCCTCTCTGTAGCATCCCTCCATCCTGTGTTTGTCCAAAGTGCTCTCTGCTCTACACATAAGGTGTGGAGCCATGAGGAATAGAGCCAGCCTGCAGCTCACCTCTTGTCTCAGGACACATGCAGTGACAGTAGCTATGTGTATAGGCAGGCAGCAGCTTGATGCAGTAAGGACAGTGGACATCCATGGCCCATCAGTCTAGCAGGCATCATACGAGAGAAGCCCATTGAATAGACAAGGATCGGAGGAAAGCTTAGAGAAACAGCAATCCATACAGTCATAGCAGCCACCAGGACACCTCTACCCTGAGCCAACACTGGGATTTCCTGAAACACTGGGAAATGGCTCCAGAAGTTGAAAGAAAATGAACAGTGAGAGGGAGAGGTGACATTCTGGGAAAGCTGCCCCTGAGGACAGGCTCTCAGGGAAGCTGTAAGCTGTTGATGGAGTGGTATATGTCAAAGGTACAAGCTTTGTGAAGAAAAGCACACTGACAGCTTCTGCCCTGACCATACCCACTCTGGTCCTGTTCTGGGGCCTGACAGCTACTTCTGTTTGTCAGTAGAATCTCTGACACAGGGCTGACTTTGCTCTTCCACCCACATGGCCATACCAGAAGGCAAACTGGGGTCCTGATACTCCAGAACTATTCCAGGGACCAGCCCAGTTATAAGGTTAGTTTGGCCTAGCTTATACCCAGACCAACCATTCCATCCCTACCAGGATGCACTGAAATTTCAGCCATAAAGAGGGCTAGTCATAAAGTGTCCCTTTATTTTTCCTCTGCAACTGTCCTTATACCAGAGTTTCCTTCAGATCCTTTGACCTTTGAAGCTAGATTCTGCACTTCTGGTCCCTTCATGCACCATCCAGTAGAGTCCAACCCATGGCCTCTGCTAGCCTGGCCTCTAGGAACAGAGAATGAGAAAGGGAAGACAGCCTAAAGCCAGAACTGTCTTCTCAGCAGCGTGCTTCTTCGAACCATCCCTCCTGCCCTGGAGGCTGAAGAGGACGGTGGCTGTGGGGCCATTGAGGGAGCTGTGTGCAGAGTCTCAGACCAGCCCTCCCTCCCCAGCTTTATACATGGCTCACAGTGGCAGGTCCTGGTTGTCTAGCTGACCTGCCTAGACATAACTGTTGCCCTCTGCAGACTTCATATGTTACCTTGAGATCATGGTGCACATTAATACTAGGTAGATGTGTGTGTATGCATGCATGTGTGTTGTGTGTGCAAGCGCTCATGCTTACATGCCATTGAGTAACACAGGGCTGCAGGATAGGAGCAAAAGGCACTACTGACCTGCAGCTACACACTCACTTCTCTTCCATTCCCCATGAAGAAACCAGTTAAGGGAGAGCCAAGAATCTCCTTTAGAAGGTGGGCACCCCATCACAAGTATCCTGGAAAGTCAGGAGTAAGGGCTTTACAATTCCTGAAATCACAGGCGTCACCAATAGTTTGAAAGCCCAAGAGTGATATAATCCTGATTAAGATGAGTGGGAATATGGGTGAAAAGATGGTGTTTTTATCCACCTATAGGTGGCTGAGGTCCTTAAGGGGCAAAAGTAGAGAATTGAGAGCAAGCTTCCAGAATGGGACATTTGGGGACTAGGAAAGAGTTCAGTCAGAGAGGGCAGAAGTAGGAAGATGTTAATGGTTAGGCTTGGATGACCTCCCAAAGCCTCATCCATTCAAAGGTGGGGCTTTTGGGAGGTGACTGGATCATGGGTGTGTGGCACTATTGGACTAGTCCAGTGATAGGTTAATAGTTCGGTGTGGTATTGGGAGGTTAGGACTGTTTGAATGATGCTCCTGCCTTAAGTGTGCTGCCTTCTGCCTGCCACACCATGAACTGTTTCTCTTCTGCCATGCCACTCTGCTTGAAACCAGTGGATTATTGCCTGAAACCCCTACAAAATATGAGGTGAAATAAACTTTTCTTCTTTAACTCGTGGGTGTCACATACTTTGTCCCAACAATGAGAAAGTTATTAAGATAGAGGAGGACTGAGTGCTAACAGTCCCTGGCTCTTTATCTAGCCAGGGGCACAGCCTTGCCAGAGCAGAGAAGCAGGGACTGTGGCCAATGGGGTAGATGATATACGATTTGTCTCACAATAATGGATATCAGCTAGGAGCTGAGGCACGATGGAATAGACAGTAAGGTGTTGACAGAGCCTCAGGGCATGAGTAATGTCACAGGCACTTCCATGGTCTAGAGCCCACTGGGGCAAGCACCCAGTGATTTACAGTCATTCTCTAATCTCAGATGGAACTAGTTCTCAAGAGCTAATACAGTTGCCGCTGAGGAAGCACATAGGCATACACACTTTCTGTGGCAGCACATCTTATGGTATGTGTGTGGGGGCTGCCACATATACCACCTGGCCTGGACTGTAGATCTCAAACTTCACAGCTGATCTGAATATGTCCTAGGTACACTTTGAGAAACACTGACTCAGGATCTCGTATCATTCCTATAAAATAGTTTGGTTGGTTTTGTCCTTATTTTTCTGGTAAAGACACAGACTTGAGTGAGCTAAACAATATGCCCAAGTATATAAGTAGACTCAAGATTTGCTTAATGTTCCTACACTGACAGGGATCTAGGATGGGATAAGTAGGATAGTGGGTGAGCTAGGACCCCTATCCCTGCCTGAACAACCACTGCCTAACAGACTCATCCCCAATCCCAGATTATTTCCTTTCCTGGCTAGTTGTCCAGGTTCCTGGCTTTGCAAAAAACACTCCAACTAGTGAAGCACTCTGAGCACCCTTAATTCATGGGAAGGACACAGTCTAGGGTAGTCCTGTAAATCAGGTAGGCAAGACTCTTCAGGAATTGGTTTCCATAATGAAATTAAAGCCAGGGTAGTAGCACACATCAATAATCCCACCACTCTAGGAGGCTGAGGCAGGAGGATCAAAATTCTAGCCCAGCTTGGACAACTTGATGGGTTAGAGAATCAGTTTCAAAACATTAAAAGGGGGGCTATGGATGTAGCTCAATATTTTTTCCCATAATTTTATTGAGAAATAGCAATGAGACAGTTTCAAACCAAATTGGTAGGACAGTTTCAATAATTTAAACATTGCATACATTCTTCCTAGTGGTTAATTGCAATGTAGCTCAATATTAAGACTGCCAAGAACTATATCTGGGGCTCAATAACTTTTTTTTATTTTTTATTAATTTTTTTCCTGTATTTTAGGGCAGTCTACAAGGTCTCACTACGTAGATCAGACTCATAGTGATTCTCCTGTTTACAGCCTCCCAAGTGCTGGGATTACAGGTGTGGGGCCACCACGCCCAGTCTCAATGACCATCCCACCGTACCCCAGGGGCAAGGCCAGCAGATTGAACTTGGCCTCTGAACTCTACTGAAATCAGGCTGGCCCTAAAAACTTTTTTTTTCTCCCCCCCCCCCCGAACTGGGGATTGAACTCAGACCCTTGCCTGCCAGGCAAGCGCTTATTCTACTGAGCTATCTCTCCAGTCCCTTAAAAAACTTTTTAGAGAAGGTTTATTTTTTGCTTTTGGTGCCGAGGACCGAACCCAGGGCTTCCAGCTTGCTAGGCAAGCATTCTACCGCTGAGCCAAATCCCCAGCACCCCTAAAAACTTTTTTAAATAAAAAATCTAATTACACTTTATATCTGCATTGGTATAGCAATGAATACATTTTCTTTCACCTAAGCGTTTCTTTCTGGCTTTCAAGGAAAACATTTTTTGTAAGCCTCTCTCATGGCAGAAATATGACCTCCCCCTCAAAATTCATGGTCTTATGCTCAGAACCTGTGCCAGTGTTAGGTTATATGGCAAAGGGAAATTAAAGACGCTAATCATCTCATTAAAATACACTGTCACCTGGGTGTCTGGACCCAAAGTCATCACAAGTGCCTTTATAAGGGCAGAGAGAATCAGAAGAGGAACGAGAAACAAACATAGCAGCAAAAGAAGGGCTTTCCTGGCTTTGCAGATGGAGGAAAGGACACTAAATCAAGGAACTGGTAGTTGTAGAAGCTGGAAAGGGAAGGGAAAGATTCTCCCCTAGACCGTCCCCCCCCCACACCCCCAGGAGCTCATCTTATTGACACCTGGATCTCAGCCCACAGAGACTATAGAGACTTTTGACCCCCAGAAGGGTGAGATAAGAAGTCCGTGTTGTTTTACATCTCTTATTTCGTGGACGCTTACTGCCTAAAAGTGTGGTCGCCAGATAATGTGCCTCCTGCCCCGCTGGATGGTTTGCATCCCCGCTCTGCCACATACCACACAAAGTGCTTAAGTCCTGAGTGCTGTGAGGTAAGGATCGTTCCCCGCAACTACGCCAGGCTGGGAAGAGCGAGGCATACCGTCAGTCAGGTGTCCGCCTTAAATAACAATCGCAGTTGCTGGACACGAGACCGCCAGGGGGCAGCAGAAATTCGACCCCACCCGCGGGAGGCCTGACTGCGCCTGCGCTGCGCCTGCTGCGGCCCGGGACGGGAAGTGGGCGGTACCCGCCCGGAGCTGCTAGGCGCGGAGCGGCTAGGTGGCAGGTGAGGCCCGCGGGGATCCCGGGGTGGGGAAGCCCCGGAAGCTGGATTTGGGACCCTGACGGGTTTAGGTGATGATCAAGTGGGGACCCAGGATGCACGAGGGTAAGGTGGAGCTCAGGAACTAGAGAAGCAGAATAGGGGGTCTTGGGAAGCTGGGAGGCCGAGCTCAGGCTCAGATGCAGGCAGCCTAGGGTGGGAAAGGGGGCCGAGGAGCGGAAGAGCATCTGGGGGTCCTGGAGAACCCGAGCTCTTCAGTCAAGGGGCTGCAGAGCTAAAGGCTTGGAACTGGGGAGGGGGTCCTTTGGGTTGGTGAGGGTGTGGCCGAGTCGAGGGCCTTGGGGCCCAGGGCTGTGAGGCAGAACTGGGTGCTGAGCGATGACACACCCACATTTTTAAGACGCCAGACTATTCCACTCCCCAGGAACAAGTGGGTCAGGCCCAGTGCCTTCCTCACTAACCCACCATGCAGGTCCCTTCGTGGGGCCACATCACGACCTCAGTGCGCCCACCTGTGGCTCCGCGGGGTGCATGTTTGCATGCGAGTGTGTGTGTGTGTTGAGTGTTTCAGTTAAAACGCTGCTTGGGCTGCAGCTGCATCTGCTGGATTGTGTAAATTAGTTTTAGCTATGGAGATCTTAGGCACCGCCCTTGCAACTGGTTGATCCCAGCCAAGCCCCTTAACTTCTGGGTGCCACAGGGAGAAATAGCATCTACCTGTGGGGAGTTTTGCACAGGGCCCAACGCTGGATTCATCAAAGCCTTGTGCACCTTGTGGTCCCCCTTGTGATGCGTCCTCATGGCATTCCCTGGGACAAGTTCTGTGGGCTGAGCTGTGTTCCCATCTCTGGCGATAATGTGATGCTGACAGACACTCTGAGGCCATCTCTAGCTCATTTCTTTTTTTAATGCCCATATCTGTATTACTGTCAAATTTAACTTTTGCTCCTACATCCAGTTGAGGTGGAAGTGGCAAAGTTACAGGACATCAGAACACCCTCACGGAGTCCTGTTTTGCCATTTCCTACTCCTGTGACCTTAGGTGCCCTCGCCTTCTCCATCAGCAACATGTCTTAATGGTTTGTATTTGTTAGCACCATTATGAAAGGTAAGAGCATCTTGATGGGATGTATCTGTCAATATAGTTGTGAAAGGTAAATAGAGTACTATTTTGAAAACTGTAAATTACTCATTTGTTTCCGGAATTCCTTTGAGATGTTACAGGAAGCCAGCCCTGTCCTTCAGACCTGTATCTTCTCCTTGTACTGGGAGAGTATTTAGTTTCTTCCCTGAAGGTGCCAGGCCTGAGGCCACACCTCTCAGTCCATGATGGCAACTTCCTCTTCTTTCTGTCCCTACACTTACCACCTGCTGAGCATAAACTGTCAGGGTGGATTCCCTGACCACAGTGAGCTTGGGAATCCGTTAGTCAAAGAAGCCCTGTTGGGCTGGGGAAATAGCTCAGCGGCATAAGTTCTTGCCTGAGTTCAATCCCTAGTACCAAAACAACAACAACAAAAAAAAAACAAACCAGAAAACAAAAAAGAAAAACAACAACAACAACAAAAAACCCTGTATAAAGGGGAGTTGGTTGATCAGCAATGAGAATGTGCTAAATACCATAAAACTATACATTCAAAATTGTTAAAGTAGGGCCTGGGAGTAGCAGTGGCTCAGGTAGAGCTTGTGCTTAGCCGGTACAATTCCCAGCACTGAAAAAAACAAAAGGTTAAAGTGAATGATAAATTTTGTGTTATATGTATTTTTCACAGCAAAGTGTGTGTGTATACATATATTTAATGTATATGGGTTCAAACCAAACTATTCCTAATGGTCATTTATGAATAAAGAAATAAGATTCTAGGGGCCGGGGAGATGGCTCAGTGTAATAAGCGCTTCCCTGGCAAGCATAAGGGCCTGAGTTCAATCCCCGGTTCTGCAAAAAAAAAAAGAAAGAAAGAAAGAAAGAAGATTCTCCATTGGTAGGGAAAAGAGTTAATATTGAGTGTAATACTTTCATAACAGCAGTTCCCATTTTTAAGGATTGCTGTTTTCTTTTAAACCACGACTCTGAAATAAAACAACAGATATTTTCTCTGTAGCATGTAGGGAAACAGTGCAGTTTTACAAATATCCTTTGGCTGGGCTTTTGTGTCAAAACTGGTAAACTAAAGGAAAATAAATACTTCTGATTAAGAGAGAAAACTTTGTATAAGGCAGGTGCAAGCAAAAGGGCCATAGAGCTGCAGAAAGCAGCTTGCTGGACCCTGAAGATGGGAAAATGTCAGCTTTAAAGGCTCAGAGATCCCAGGTGGGCGGCAAAGCACAGGAGCAGGGAGGTGGGAGCTGTCCTAGGGCATTGGGCATGAGAAAAGCCTTAAGTGAGCTGAATCTGGGAGTTGGTGACCAGTGAGGACCAGGAACAGAAAGGAGTCAGATCAGCTTCGAGGGTTTGTCACAGTTAGGAGCCAGGTTCCCCAGCGTGAGCCCTACCTAAGGAATTTGGGCAAGTCGCAGCTCTTATGCTATAGCCTGCACTTGTACAGTGGAGGAAGCCACAGCGAAGTTCTCAGGAGGTTAAAAGAGGTAACAGAGGAAGAGTGCTTGGAGCCGAGCTGTCACCCGCAGTCCTGGCAGATATTAGCTGGCAGCACCGTCCACCATAGCGTGTGGCTGCCAGCTGATGAGCAGTATAGGGTGGCACTGTTGTGGGAGCTGGGAGAAACCGGCCAGGGGTCACATTTGGCAGGAACCTCTGAGTTTGGAAGCCCAGAGTCCCTCCTGCGCCCCCTCCACCTCATCCTTGGTGACTTGCACAGACTCCCAACTGGTAACCCCAGGGAGTTGGGACAACCCTGTAATGGAACAGCCCCACCTCCCCCACTAAACTTATCCTGTGGCTCCCTGTTAGCCAGGTACGACCTGCCTCCTGAGACTGTCTCTTCCACTGACCCCCAAAGAACTCAGCACCCAGGCACTGTCCTGTGTCCATCCAGGCACTCTTAGGGCTCCTAATTCCCCCTTTGAACAGTTAGGAATTTCTCCCTCCCACTGCTGTGTGCCTTTCTCTAGATTGTGGGCTTCTAAAGGCAGGGATTATTTTGCTGTTGTTGGTGTGGCATGCATCATACTCGGGAGTTGATTGGGGTAGTGGGGAAGGACAAGGAAAGAAATTGTCCTTATCCTTCAACCTGTCTGAGCCCCAGGAAACAAAACTGTCCTGGTTTTTCTCACCTCTGGCCCAAGCTAGGTGATGGAGAAATGAGTCTCAGGGCTCTCCAGCAAACAGGATAGGTTCTGGACACTCTGCCTTTCTAACAAAAGTGGGCATTTGGCACAAGATCTGAGAGGAATCCATCCTGACCCCTCTGTAGCTGCAGGCAGGGCTCCGTGTGCACCCATCATGATGTCGCACTGTGCTGCCTCACCCACCTTCAAGTCCCACTCAGCACTTGTGATACAAATGGCAGTTGGAGCCCATAGCAGGTCCTGGGCTCAGGACAGTAGGCCCAGGAGACAGCATGCAAGCATGAGGCTGGGCACAGAATGGGCTTGCTACAATCAGGGGCTGTAGTGTGGAGCAGAGTGCCACCAACCTCCAGGGAACCAGGCACAGGAAACCCTCTAAAGGCCAGGAGGCAAAAAGAAAATGCTCAGCAAAATGTCCCCAGCAAGTAGCCTTGAAGGTGGAGGGCCTTGAATGCTGTACTTGAAAATGGAACTGTGGGCTGTGGCTGAGGTGTCTCTAGCTGTGTTGTGTGCTTTCATTCTGACCCTAATCATAAATTTACTGTGCGAGCATTTAGCACAGCTGGAGATTTCAGTGCCTCTGCATCGTTTAGAGTTGCATGGGGGCCAGGCCTGTTCCAAACTCTTGGCAGTTGCTTGAGGGCATCACTGCATTGCTCATAGCACGAGGTGGCCAGAGCAGCTCACGGGCAGAGGATGGGGCTTGGTCCTGAGCTGGCTGGGAAATTCACTCCATCTCCTTGCTTTCTCCTGGGCTTAGTCGTCCTCACCCCAAAGCTCTGCTGGGCATGCCCTGCTTTTCTTCCCTCGGACTCCTGCCCCGACTCCAGCCTGCTGTCAATGCCTCATTTCACAATGTCTTACCTTTGTGGTTAGAGTGTTAAGTGCTATTCCCATCTGCTTTTTCTTTATCTTTCTCCTCCTTCTCCTCTTCCTCTTCCTCCTTTCTTGTTTCTTTCTCTTCTTCCTCCTCTTCCTCCTCCTCTTCTTCTTCCTCTTCCTCTTCTTCCTCTTCTTCTTCCTTTTCTTCCTCCTCCTCCTCCTCCCCCCTTCTCATCTTCCTTCTTCTTCCTTCTTCTTTCTTCCTTTTTTTTTTTTTTTAACCTACTTGCCTTTTGTAACCCTGACAATGAGTTTTATTTACTTGGACATGTGGGGGATAAATGTGAAAATTAAATTTAAGTCTAGCCCCATAACTATCAATAACATGTGTCCCTATTTCTGTATTCTAAGCACACAAACCTGTGGCTGCTAGGGTACCACGATGGTCTTCATTTGGCCTGCCAGCCACCCTCTGCTGGGAATACATCTTCCTCTGTCACATCCCCAAAATGTCCACATGGCTGCTGTCCCCACACTCATCTCCTGAGGCTGCTTCTCTGGGTGCCCTCATGTCCCCACTTGGACCCATGTCAGGACACTACCTGGAGTTGTCACTCCACTTTGTCCTCCCTGAGCTGTGAGGCCCAGGACTTGGTGAGATGCCTGCTGAACATGGCTTGCAGGTAAAAGAAACAAAGCAGGACCCTTGCACTCCATATTGGAGGGCGCTTATCACCCTGTGATCATGCCATCTCTCCCCAGAGTGAAGACTGACCTGCTCCCAGCCGCATACTTCCCGGGATGCTCTGAGCGTTCCCAGGAGCCCCACAGAACAGCAGCCAGATGGCCTGTGATTCAGAAAGGGTGGACTTCCTGGATGCATTTTTCCGAGACTTCCCAACCCCACTCGACCCGGATAGCCCCTTGCCATGGAGGCCCTCAGGAACAACGCTGAGCCAGGAGGAGGTGGAGGGTGAGCTGGCTGAGCTGGCGATGGGCTTCCTGACCAGCAGGTAGGCCTGTGCTACGTGGGAGGGGTGGAGACTGGACTGCAGCAGAAGGGCACATGGCACTCACCCTGTGTAGATGGCAGCAGGCTCTGCCAAGTGTATGGGCCACATACTTGTGGCTTGTGACACATAGTGACATGGCGCAGGAAGTAGTGCTCTGTGACCGTGTTCCACAAGGTGAGAGGCATGTACAAAGAATATTGTTGGTAGCCACTGTGCAGGACCTGGAAGAGGCCCTCAGTTCCCCAGGACAGGAGAATCTGTATGGAGAGGGATGGCTGTGCTTTGCAGCAGTGATTGGGAAGGCTGAGGCATGAAGGGTGTTGGCAGCGACCAGCAGCAGCAGGGGCTCTGGGAAGGGCTGAGCAGGAACTCGGGTTCAGACCAGGGTTGTGCAGGGGTTGCACAACCTCAGGCCCCAGTGGGTTCCAGAACTTGTTAGAGCAGTCAGCGGGAGGAAATGGGCGGAGGACCAAAACTCTCCTTGGTCTGAAGCTGGAGGGGATGGCGCAGAGCTCCCAGAGAAGAGTGGAGGTGGGGGCATCTTTAGGCCCCTTTATCCATCCCCAGAATATCTTAAAATGTGTTGTATAGGGCCGGGGAGATAGCTCAGTGGCATACGCGCCTGCCTAGCAAGGCCCTGAGTTCAATCCCCAGTACCACCCCCCGCAAAAAATGTTATGTATTTTTAGGGTCTTCTATTTCCTAGCCATCTAATCGCTTCTCAGCCTTTTGGCTAAGATCAAGTGTATTTCCTAGCCATCTACATAGATTTGTTATCTCTGGAAAACAAGCTAGTTGTTTTCTAGTATTTTGTCCCTTAAGCAGACATACAAATTCATAGGTGCAGGCATCACTTGGGGTCTATCCCAAGCACCCAATGTGGTAGCTCTTTCTCAAGACCTCTTCATGCTGGGTTTCTGCTCTTACCACCCAGGAATAGGCTCTTGGATATAAAGAGTCTCAAGTCTATAGGTCTGTGGTCCTTTTCCAGATTTTTTTTTTTTTCTCCAGATTTTAAATGGCATCCTCTGAGACTGTGGAAGTCAGATCACCAAGCTCCAGGGCGTGCTAATTTTCTGTCCTGTCTTCCTCTCTTTACCGGTGGCACTCTCACTGCAATATCATTTGTCCCCGAGTAGTACATACCTTCCTCTGGAATTTAGATGCAGTTTTTATCTCTGCTTCTAGACTCTAACCCCCAAGGTGGATGGACTAGTTTTTCTTAAGTGCCTATGCTAGTTCCCTAGAGCACCTTCCGGGCAAGTTTGGAACCCCACCCCACAGGAACCAGAATAAGCTTTGACTTTTGAGATGCATCTGTTCCGGACAGAGGGGCTTCAGGCCGTCTCCTTGGGCAGGCCCCACCGTTGAGATAGGAGCCGAATCCAGGAAGGGGAAGCAGGTGGCCTGTGGCCAGCCATTGTCTGGGTTCCCTGCTCCCAGCAATAGCAGCAGCAGCCGGCAGGAAGCCGAAGCATGACCTCACCAGCATGAGCAGAACAGGCATCCTTCTCCTGCCGGGAAAAGGGAAAACCCAGAGCTTGGCAGGAAACCCCCAAATGGCAGAGGAACTCATTTCTCATGTCTTGGATGGATTGTTTGATTGGAGGAGGGGTGGGTGTTTGTTCTGTGGTACTGGGGTCAAACCCAGGCTCTTGAGCATGTGAGTGTTCCACCCCAAACCCTGCATTGAATTTTAATCTTCCATGGCCCAGTCATTTTTCAAATTGGTTCCAGAAGCTTCTCCCTGAGTGACTTCTTATTAAAACAAAAAGATCAGGAGTTCTAAAGACCTTCAGTAGGTGCCTCAGGTGCTCAGCCCCGACAGGTTATGGCCCGCCAGCAAGGCTGTCAGAAAGGGCTTGACCTCAGGTTAAAACTGTATGTGAGCCCAGCAGGGACTCCCTGGGCTATCCCCAGGAATGGGCACACCAAGGAGAATGCACATCCTCCAGCTTCTGGGGGCCCCCACATTGGGTGGAGAAGCAGATTCTGGGAACCAGGGTGCATCTTTTTTTTTCATTCTTTTTTTTTTTTTAATTTTTATTTATTTGTGTGTGTGTGTGTGTGTGTGTGTGGCCAGCTCAGCCCACCAAGGGGCGGGGCTGGCTGGCATGTGGTGCTGGGGGATTGAACTGTGGTTCCCTGTACTTTGCTAAGCTTGTTCTAAGTAGGTGCTTTAGACCACTGAGCCATCTCACCAGCCCAGGGTGCATCTTAAGAGGCTGAGGGGCCAGCAGGAGAAGTGATTTCTTCTGCTGAGAGGTCCATTGTGGGTTTCAGTGGATGCTGAGTCCTCAGTGCAAAAAGCTGCAGTGTGTGTGTGTGTGTGTGTGTGTGTGTGTGTGTGTGTGTTAGGGTCTCATGTCACAGAATCTTAACCATCCTCCACACTGGCCACAGTTGGCCTCAGTCGCTCTCCCCCAAACTCTGTGAGCTGCCACTTGCCCCCCTTTGTATTGCCGCATGCCAGAGCCCCTGACTGGACACTGGCATTTCTTTCCCTCCTCTGCCTTCAGCCTGTAGTGATTTCCTTGTCCACCCCTTCTACGCCTACTTGGCTCTTCAGCTCTGTTCTCTGACCTTCAAAGCCATCCACCAAGTCTCACTTCTCCCAACTTTCCTCTGTGGCCTCAGGGAGGACACCTACACAGTTGGTTTCCACTTCTCCAGCTGCTTTCTGGCCTTCCGAGTGGGAGAGCTCTTGCTGTCTTTTGCCCGCCTTCACCCTACTGCTTCATCTCCTGCCACACCATGTTCCCATAGCCCTCCAGGCCTCTGGGACTCAGCAGAAGCTGAGAACCTATGGAATAGAACCTGTTGCCCAGTCCCAGGCAGGTTAGTTAAAGTATCTACCACATGCCCAGTTACTCAGAATAAAAACTTTGACTGTCCCTGTTCCTCCTGCTACTCCACTCCTAATCAGCCTCCCTGGTACAGCACTCTCTGCCCCCCACTGGCCCATCACCATGGCCCTTTGCTCAGCTCTGGCCTTGACCTCTTTCTTCTGGGCTATGGTCACCACCTTCCCACCAGCATTTACCCTTCAGCCCACGCTCTGCACCAAAAGGTATAAGATACCAATCCAAACATACCCTGTCTTTTTTCCAAACAAACCAAATCAGTGGCTCCTGATAGCCACCAAGCCTGCCCTACCCCTTGCTCCCATCAGCCGTGCCCCAGCTGCCCAGGGGCCCTGGCTTATCTTTTACAATACATGGCTTATCTTTGATAACAGTGCCTGGTCCCCCTGTCCCCTGAATCAGCTTCCTAATACTGTTGTACTCACGTACACAGACCATGAGGCTTAAAGAGCAGAGACCAATTCTCATGGTTCTGGAGGCTAGAAGTCTGAGATGAAGGTATCAGCAGGGCAGGTTTTTTCTGGCAGTTCTCAGACAATGCTTGGCATCATCAGCTTGTAGGCTCATTGCCTACAGTTCTGGCTTATTTTCACAGTGCTTTCTCTCAGTGTACATGTCTGTGTCCAAATTTTCCCTTTTTCATAAAAACACCAATCATGGAAGGAGTACCCATCCTGTTCCAGGAGGACCTCACTCGCTAATTCCATCTGCACTGACTGTCTCCAAGTCAGGTCCCATTCTGAGGTACTGAGGGCAAGGGTTTCAACAGGAATGGAGGGGGCACCATTCTGCTCATAACATGCCCTAACCTGTGGGGGTTGCCAACTTGTGTTGGTGACTCTGTATTCTCTCCATCTGCTTGAATATCAGCCTGCCCAGCCACCGAGGGTCACATGTCTTGGTGGCACCCTTTTCTCCCGGCTGTAGCATGGCAATTGGTCCAGCCAGGTCCTAGTGGAAGAGGAATGTCTGCTTCCCCTGAGCGGAAGGAATAAACCATAAGGAGAAAGGGTGCCTCCTCATTGTGACCCCAGCAGGCATGAGCCATGATTTCTACCTCTGGCAGGCTTTTCTGGCTGGGAGTGCTAGGACCTCGCTTCCACTGGGGAATCATGCAGGCTTCACTTCTCATTCTCATCCCTAGGAGTGCCCCACAGCCACTGGCTGCAGCTCTGACCCATGAGGCTATTTCCCAGATGCTGCAGACTGACCTTTCGGAGTTTAGGAAGTTGCCCAGGCAAGAAGAGGAAGAAGGGGAGGACAATGAGGAAGAGAAGGCTGCGGCAACCTGTGAGTTCTTTGCCTAGCAGGTGATAGACAAAAGGTGACACTATGCAAAGTATACTGAGCAGGGCCACTGAGGGGTTGATGCCAGGGCACTTGCCAGTCAGGAGTGGCAGGATCAAGTACAGAGACGGTGTCCTGGCAGCACATAGCCAGGACAGGGAGTGTGGCCTTTGGTGCCCCACTGAGGGTCAGCCAGTACATGCCAGGCTCTCTCCTGTGTCCCATTTCACCGAAGTTTCAGAACGGCCTTTGGAAATAACTGAAGCTTGTCCTGTTTTACACATGGGAAATCCAAGGTGCTCACTCGCTGTCAGGCAGCCAAGCTGAAATGCAGTTGGTGTCGTTCCTCAGCTAACATGAAGTCAGAGCCAGCAGGGTGACACATCAGCCTGTGCATGGAGTCCACCTCATGGTCCCAATGGTAGAAAGCATTAGAACATGGACTCCTTTTCTTGACCCCTTTTCTCAACTCACCAGGTTGAGACTGCAAGGGCTGGGGAGACGGCTTAGTGGAATAAGTGCTTGCCTGTCAAGCACAGGGGCCTGAGTTCAATCCCCAGTTCCGCCAAAAAAAGACAAAAACAAAAAAAAACAAAAAAGCTTTTGGGGCCAGGGAGATGGCTTAGGAGAGTAAGCGCTTCCCTGGCAAGCACAAGGACCTGAGTTCAATCCCCGGTTCCGCAAAAAAAAAAAAAAGAGAGACTGCATTAGCGTGACATACTGAGCCGTGTCCTTGAGGGTTCATACGGTAGCAGGGATGAATGCTGATCCGTGAGCCCACTTCGGAACAGCCATCGCTAGGGCCAGGCTCCTGAAACACCATTGCATGATCAGAGAGGCCAAAAATGGAGTAATCACTGAGAGGCCTGCAGAGCTATTTGACAGTCTGCTCATGAAAATGCAGGGCTCAATTCCAAGGCAGTGGTGCATACCTGTAATCCTAGCTACTTGGGAGGCTGAGGCAGGAGGATCACGAGTTGAAGGCCAGACAGAGCAACCTAGCAAGACCGCATATCAAAATAATAAAATTTTAGGAAAGGGGTACAAAGGCCCTGAATTCAGTTCTCCACTACCTTCCTCCCCAAATGGGCTCTTACTTAACTGCATGATTTTCTTTCTCTTTTTTAATATATTTTTTAAAACTGTATTTTACCAAAGTGTTGATTCATGTTAGACCCAAAGAGCCAGGCGTCTAACTCGTTGGCCAGGCAGGAGACCAAGTGACAGGCCATGGGGAGGTCCCAGAAGGGATCTGTGCTGTGGCTTGTTTTCCAGCTGGAGGTTTGCCTCTGTGCAGCTATCTGGGCAGTGGGAAGTGGATTTCCCTTCTTTTGCTGTCTCCTTTCTGTCTGTGTCACTTTAAACTCAGCAGTAGTGCAAACATGGAGGGAACAGCAAGGAGCAAGGGGGAAGAAAACAGAAAACAACACAAAGCCTGTAGCAGCAGTGCCTGCCAGGCAGCTTCCCTCCTCTTTCTGGTCCCCATCTCCCTGGCTCCCTGCCTGCCTTCCATCCGTGCACAGCCTTGTCTTCCTGTCTAGGAGACAGTTGTCCTCACTAACAGGCAGCCATTGTTCTCTGCAAAACCAGCAGGCATCCGCCTGGTGGCAGCTGCCACTAAAGGAGTACACACACCCTCCACCCCCACCCTACCCTAGCTTATTTCTCAGCCTGGCAGGCAGGGGACAGCGCCAGCTGCTGGTGGGAAGCAGAACTAGTGCACCTTGCTGAGCCCTAGTCTTGGGCCTGTGAAGGAAGCAGGAGGTCCAGTCAGAAGAAGTCACTGCCTGCCCTGTCTGTTCCAGAGCTGGGTCATGCCAGTCTAAGCTAGCGGCTTGGATCACTCATGGCACCAGAACATAGCAAACTGTCGCTTCCCAGGCCATTCTGGCAAAACCACTTCAAGGCAAGCAGGCTCTGTGGACTCTCCACTGCCAAAGGGTAGAGATATAACAGAAACATCTCTGTGCTCCTAGCGAGCCCCTCCCTGTTGACTGTTAGGAAAACAAAACCTGTGGAGCGGTTGCTAAGGGCATGGGGACTGCAGCCCTTCAAGGCATCAGGATCTTCTTCTTTTGTCCTTGCCCTTGGCTCGGGCAAGATTCAAGTTCAAACACAAGGATGGAAATAGTAGTACAACCTAAGGCAAGAGGGGAAAAGGCAACAGGATCTGGTCAGGGCTTCAGGCCTGATAAGCACCAGCGGGTTCTGGTGGTAAAAAGGAGCCAGAGCAGCTTTCCAGGCAGTTTTCTGAGCGCAACCTTCACCAGAGAAGCTGGAAGAGGGCAGGAGATAGCACGGGATGACTGGCACAAAGAGGTCTTCCACGGTGGGGACACAATTCTTGCCAAAGGACTGAATGGATCTCTGTCGTTGGTGTGCTGGCAGCGCCCAACTATAGACACCCACACCACTGCCTGGGCATAGCCTCCTTTGCTCACAGGCTCCTGGTTCTCCCTCTGTAGCCCCTCTGGCCTCTTCTCATGTTCTGCCGGGAGCACTTTCTTTTTGTAATGTCCCACATCCTTTAGGTGTGCCCTGCAGCTCAGGGACTCTATCCAGTTTTTGATACTTGACCAGAACTCTTTTTTTTTTTTTTAATATATTTAGTACAGGGTCTACAGGGTCTCACTATACAGATTGGACTGATGATTCTCCTGTTTTCAGCCTCCCAAGCACTGGGATGACAGGCGCACGCCACAGTCTCAGCACATCCCGGGGGTGGGGCCAGCACAGCTCCCCAGGGATCAAACCCCAGTCTTTGTGTCTGCCTAAGCAGGTGCTTTAATCTGCTGAGCTATCTGGCCAGCCCTGGAACTCCTGTCCTAGCTGTAGGCTCCGACTCCCCTGTATCTGCCACAGATACTTGGACTAGCTTCACTGGGACTTTATTTTTTCTAAATGAGTGTTATAGGGTGCATTATTTATTGCTATGTAATAAACCCCCACATTCAGTGGCTTGGAAACAGCAGGCATTTTCCACTTGTCTTCCCACCAATTCCATGGGTCTGGGATTTGGGAGCAGGTTAGACAGGTGGTTCTGCCCAGGGTCTCTTGTGGTCATCGGGAGCAACAAGGGAGGGATTTGCCACTTTCAAAATGGTTCAGTCACAAAACCACACATGGTCCCTAGCGCTTTCTTCCGCCACCAGATGCAGCTCACTAAGATCTCATTTGGGAGGGAGCTGGCTTTGCCTCCTGAAAGGAGAAGTGTCAAAGAGTTTGTGAATGGATTTTAAAGCCATTACATTTGGGCAAATATTTTAAGGAAAATTGGGAAATTATTGAAAATATGTATAAGGAAAAAAATCACCTCTAGAACAAGCCACTGTAGATACCCACTGCTAATGTCTTGGTCATAATGCCATTTCTGCCCTCTTTTTATGGGTCCAAGTGGTTTTTCCATGAATTTGTGATGAACTTTTTTTTTTTTTCTTTGGCAGAACCGGGGATTGAACTCAGTCCCTTGTGCTTGTCAGGCAAGCACTTATTCTACTGAGCTATCTCCCTGCCTTCTTTTTTTTTTTTATCAGCAGAATATATTTATTGGGGGAAAGAAAGCTCCTGTCTGAGAGAGGGACGGGAGGTGGGACCCTGAGCAGGTTGTCCCCTGTGTTGAAGTTCTTTATGTAATTTTGTATCTTTTTCTTATGTGAGATCAGTGCATATAGGTTTTACTTGCTAGCAAACTGTGTGGAAATCCATTTTCTGTTTTTATCCTTTGGTCTTTTTATTTTATTTATTTATTTATTTATTTATTTATTTTTTGGCAGCTCCCCATTGACCTACAGCAGCGCTGGTCTGGGTTGCCTTGAGTATGTGGGAATGGAACCACCGCTCAGAGAGACTGACTGCCTCCTTTAAGCAGGCACTTAAACAACTGAGCTAATGGGCAGGCCCCCCTTTTGGTCTTTTTAATTAAACATATATATATATTTTTTAATTTTTTTTTTTTTACACTGGGTTTTACTGTGTAGTTCAGGCTGGCCTTGAGTTCACTATATATATTCCAGGCTGGTCTTGAACTCATGGCAGTCCTCCTGCCTTAGCCTCCCAAGTTCTGAAATTACACACATGTGTCACCATGCCTGGCAGTATTAAACATTTTGATATAATCATATCTTCCCATCTAATTGTAAGAAATAATGCAGAGAAATTCCATGTACAGTTCACTCAGTTTCATTGGGATAACATCTTGCAAAACTATAATAAAATATCACAAGCTGGATCTTATACTCACCACAAGGGTTCTTTGTGTTACCCTCTAATGGCCACTCTCCCTGGCCTCACATACCAAGATTCCTAGCTGCTGCAGATTGCTTTAGACCACTGAGCCATCTCTCCAGCCCTGCTGCAGATTACTAATATACATGTCTAGAATTTTGGCATTTCAAGAATGCATATAAACAGATCACCCAATACATAACTTTGACTGGCTGTTTTCACTCAGCATAACTCTGGAAACTAACTGAGGTTGTTGCGTGTGTCAAAAATTCAGGGGCTGGGGCCAGCAAGATAGCTCAGTGGACTAAAGCACCTGCTTAGGCAAGCGCAGAGACTACAGTTGAATTCCTGGCACCGCATGCTGCACCAGCCCCACCCTAGGGAAGGCTGAGCCAACCAGAGTCCGGGCTTGGTGGCGCAGACCTATAATCCCAGCTCTGGGGAGGCTGAAAGCAGGAACATTCCTCTGCAAGTTATCGTGTGTGAAGTCTTCGCTTTTGTGCCCAGGAGTGCAGTTATGATAGTTGCATGTTTAGTTGTGAAAGTCATTTTTAATGATTTAGTTCTTCACAGAGACTAGGTAAGAGTTTTTCCTCATCATTCCTCTTCCCTGGATATGTACTGGTTCTAACTAATGAACAATTGTAAAGGATGCTATACTTTGTGAAGACTTTTGCATTTCCTTGTGGTGGGTTCCTGTGAGTGGAACTGCCCTGTTGTGGAGTGGGAGACTTCTTCATACTTATTGTCAAACCAGACATTTCTGTTTGCCGACAATGGGTTGTCACACATAGTTTAATAGGTTGGTGTGCTCAGTGTACCCTGGGAGGTGACGGGTTGGTGAGGCTTGTGCAGGCTGGTGGGGGAGGGCGGCTATCTGGCAAACCAAATGGGACCAGAGGAAGAGGCGCAGGGTAGCCAGTGACCCCTCAGCTGGTATGGTTTGTGCTGATCTAACAATTCTCTTATCTTACCCTCAGTGCTAGATGGCACAGGACTGGCACGGAGTTTCTTTAACCAGCTCTGGAAAGTAAGTGGCCAGTGGCAGAAGCAGGTGCCAGTTACTGCCCGGACCCCACAGAGGGAGTGGGTGGTCTCTATCCACGCCATCCGGAACACTCGCCGCAAGATGGAGGACCGGCATGTGTCCCTTCCTGCCTTCAACCTGCTCTTTGGCTTGTCGGTGAGTGTTTTACTGACAAGGTCCCCAGGCCAAAGCAGGCAATAGAGCCTAGGAAGAGCTGCCAGCCAAAGCTGAGACAGGAGAGATCTCAGGGGCTGTCTCAAGGCTGAGGTGCTGGGCAGCTCCCAAAGCACTTTTCAGGGGCACCTGAGAGGCCTCATTCCTTGTATCAGCGCCTTTGGGTCAGGATGCCAGGCACCCTACTTTCCTAGGGAAGGGCTGAGAAAAGGCAACAGTGGGCATATGTCTGTTAGGAGGCCAGGCCCTGTGCCAGAGTCACTTCAGACTTACTGCTGAGCCCTGCCAGCCTACACCACCAAGAGCCACCTGGTCTATCTTACTCAATTTTAGGCTGGGAGCAGCCCAGAACAGATGGTGAAAGCAGGACTCCACGGGTTTTCCTTTTCCAAATTTCCTGGCTCCTAAGTGCTTGAGCCAGGTTGGCCTGTCTGATGGCAAGGAGCATGCCAGTTCTTCCAAGCCCTACCTGTTTTTGTCTCTTTTCTGTTGCTGTAACAGAATACCTGAGATAGGATAATTTGTGGGGAATAAATGTATCTCTTACAGTTCTGGAGACTGGGAGGTCCCAGTTCAAGGAGCTGCATTTGGTGACGGCCTTTTTGTAGCAGGAACTCTGCACAGTCCAGCGGCAGTGCAGAGTATCACATGGCAAAACAGGATGTGTTTGCCAGAGAGAGCTCACTTTTATAACAAAGCCATTCTCTCAGTAACCTGTTAATCCATTAATCCATGAGTGGATTAATCTGTTATCTTTCAAAAGTCCTCCCTCTAGATACCATTAACATAAGAATTTGGGGATTAAGTTTCCAACACATGAATTCTCAGAGACAAACACTGAAACTGTAGCACTGCCTAGTCAGTGCCACCCCCACCCCCTAGATGAGAACAGCTGGCAGGAGTCCCAGCTTCAGTCAAGTGCAAGGCCAGTGAAGCTGCGACCCATTCTCTGCTCCCCACCAGGACCCTGTGGACCGTGCCTACTTTGCTGTGTTTGATGGTCACGGAGGTGTGGATGCCGCAAGGTATGCTGCTGTCCACTTACACGTTAATGCCGCCCACCAGCCAAAGCTGCTTAACGATCCTGCAGAAGCCCTAAAAGAAGCCTTCCGGCACACTGATGAAATGTTTCTCTTGAAAGCCAAGCGAGAGGTGAGAACCAGCAGCCGGTCTCAAGGGCAGCATGGGGGCCAGTAGCCACTAGGATCAGAGTCCCTACCTCTACTGAGGGAAGGATACCGAAGTGGTTGGTGGTGTGGGAATGTCCTCCCTGAGCAAGGCTGTTTAGCATGCCATTTACTCTTTTTTTTTTTAATTTATTTTTTATTTATATTTGTGTGTGTGTGTGTGTGTGTGTGTGTGTGTGTGTGTGTGTGTGTATGGCCAGCTCAGCCCACCCAGGGGCGGGGCTGGCTGGCATGTGGTGCTGGGGGATTGAACCGTGATCCCTGCGCTTTGCTGAGCTTGTTCTAAGTAGGTGCTTTAGACCACTGAGCCATCCCACCAGCCCATGCCATTTACTCTTAAGAAAAAGGGCTCATTTTTTATTTGTATGGAAGCAGCATGAAGCTTGCCCCTTTTTAAATTGTTTCCATGACTGTAATGAAATAACTGAAGCTAGATAACTTTGTTAAGACAAGAAGTTTATTTTGGCTTATGATTTGGTGGGTTCAAAGTCTAGAAAGGCTTGGGCTGGAGAGATGGCTCAGTGGTCTAAAGCACCTACTTGGAACAAACTTGGCAAAGCACAGGGACCACGGTTCAATCCTCCAGCAGCACATGCCAGCCAGCCCCGCCCCCTGGTGGGCTGAGCTGGCCACACACACACACACACACTCTAAATGAATAAATAAATAAATAAAATTAAAAAAAAAAACAAAGTCTAGAAAGGCTTTATCTCGTAATGATCTTGCTGCTAGAGCCCCAAAGTTGCTCAAAACATACGTATGTGTATATATTCTGGGCTCCTCTCTTCTTATAAAGTCACTAGGATTCACCCACTGGGGCTCCACCCTAATAATTCTATTCAATCCCAGTCTCTTCCCAAAGTCCTTGCCTCCAAACACTAGTTGGATTAAGTTTCCACCCATTTAATGCCTCCTAGTGGACATTAAATTTTGACACATGGAGCGTTTGGGGACACTCAGCCCCTCTCCACATCATAGCACCCCTACCCATCATACTCGGCCTCTACAGGGATTAAGCATCCTGTTTGAAACAGGATTTTGTTTTAATCCAGTACAGTTAGGCAACAGACAAGTGCCTGCAAAGAAGAGTTCAGTATGTATAGTTCCCAAGAGGAGGTGGCTTGCAGCACCAGGAAGTGCTGGTTGGGGCCAGGGGGCAGAAGAAGCCTGGCCTCTGGGGAAGACACGATGAGACCAGGCAGGCAGGCTGCAGCGTGCTTAGGCCTGAATAGTTTGGGTAACCTCAGCTGTTTCTGGATGACAAGGGTAGCCCCTAGCCATCCCAGCGCTAGGCCCTGAAGCCACCCTGGACAGGGGCAGCCTTGGCCTGGTAGAGGAGAGGACCAGCTGGCCTTCCCATGAGAGGCAACGCTCTCGGGCCAGCATTTGCTTTCTCTAGGAATGAGCCTGCTGAGCTAGTCTCACCAGGGCCCACTGTGTCATTGCGTCATAACATACAGACAATGCCAAACATGATTAACGTACTGTCCCGTCTCAGCATGCTTCTCTGATAGGGTCTCAGTAGGCTGCTAATATTTGTCCTTGCGAGTTACAGTTGTGTGTAGGAGTGAGGCACGTGTTTTGGAAAAGAGAAAGAACCCATCAGGCCTCTCCTTTGTGGATGTAACCTTAACCTACAGCCCCGGGAGGTGTCTTCTAATATTGTACCCATTTCAGACATTGGAAAACTGAGGCTCAGGTTGCTGAAGAGACCTGTCTCAGTGAGGAGACAGTGAAGAAAAGCACCTATTACCACATGTTCTGACCACTGAGCTAATTGGAATGCAGCAGAAACTTTCCAGTGCAACAGAAGTCTTAAGGCATCCAAAATCCTTAAAGGGAGCCTGATAGAAAACTGACACTATCACCCCAGTTGGTGAGGCAGACCTCTCTGCTGAGAGTCACTCATGGAGTAGAGAGAGGTGTCTCTGCAGCAGTTTATTGTTTTCTTTTGTTGTCATTTGGTGGTGGTAGAGATAGAACCCAGGGCCTCCCACGTGCTAGGCAAGTGCTATACCACTGTGCTGTATCTCGAGCCCTACGATTTTCTGTAAACAACTCTGAGACAACTGACACGTCAGCTAGTTATTCATACTTCATGTATATGATCGGATAAGTTTTGGTCTATGAGTACACTCATGAAAGCCTTCACTCCAGTAATGGGCATCTTCACCGCACTTCCCTGTGTTGTCCCTGTCCTCTCTTGCCCTTGGACACACCCACTCCCCCAACTCCTGAGTTTGCTTTCTTCCACTACAGAGAAGCCCACATATTCCAGAGTGTTGTACTAATGGGGTGCTGTTGGACGCTTTCCTCCTGCATGTGGCATGATCACTACACACTTGAACCGTGCCACCTAGGGCTCTGGAGTGTGTCCTCTTGGGTGCTGAGTTTGTAGTTATATCTGTGTGGCACATGCCTGCCATGTGGGCCCCAAGTCACACACACCTTGCCCCATGTGGGCCTCTCTCCCTGCAGCGGCTGCAGAGTGGCACCACAGGCGTATGCGCACTTATTGCTGGAAAGACCCTGCACATTGCCTGGCTAGGGGACTCCCAGGTCTTCCTGGTGCAGCAGGGAGAATTGGTGAAGTTGATGAACCCACACAGACCTGACCAACCGGTAAGTCCTCCTTCTGTCAAACCCAGGACACTCCCGGGCTACTGTTGTACTTGGCCTATGCATGACTGAGGACCTCACAGGGCAGCAGAATGTCAGCAGGTCCCCACTGGGTATTGTTGAGGGTTCGAAAGTACAAGGGCCCTGGCAGCTTCTGGTGCCCTTGATGAGGAGGGCACTGCTGTGTGGTGTCGACAACCAGGGGATCCCAAGTGAGCCCTTCCTGAGAGTGCTCTGGGTCATAGTAATGTGGAGCCCAGAGCTCCAAGCAAGAGCTGGATCCTCTGTCCAGAAAATGGGGTCATCTCAGCCCAGCACAGAAATCTGTGATATCAACGGGCATAGAGTAGCCAACCAGGGGCTGAGAACCAGGAGGAACCACTAGGGCTGGAACAAAGCCGCGGGAGGTAGACTCTGCTGGGATCTGCAGCTCTGGTCCCTCACCTGTCAGGGCCTGAAGGCCCTGGATTGGACATGAGGAAGACATTCCTGCTCAGCAAACATCTCACAAATGTATCTAATCTGTCTGGTGGGCAGAGAGGGCATGTTTGGGTATCAAAGAATGCCTGTGTGCCCCTGCGCCCAATTTCTACACACGCTGTGCTCTGTCTGCACCAGCTTTTCTTAGCCAACTGTGCACCTGGCAGAGCACTGAATATATGTATGTGAAGGGCTCACATCCTTGGAGGCGTGTGGCATTCTGTTCATCATCCTGTCCCTCATCCTGTCGCTCATCCTGTCCCTCATGGAGAAACACTGAAGCCTTAAGCCTTTCTGTGCTGAAGACATTGCAGTACATTGCAGTAGTACATAACCTTGTACATGACATTGCCCAGGGTCAAGTATGTCTGTAGAAAAGATTCCTAGAGGTAGGATTACCGGGTCAGAGTAGACAGAGTCTTGGCAGAGTTGCCCAACAGACCTCTTTCGGCTGGGCCTGCCCGTGCTTGAGTAGTGCATCTGAGAGCATCTGTCCCACCACATTCCCACCACCCACAGGATTTCACCCTTCTGAAAGCTAAGAAGGATACCTCGGCTGTTGCTTTTCTTTTCTTTCTTTCTTTCTTTCTTTCTTTCTTTCTTTCTTTCTTTCTTTCTTTCTTTTTTTTTTTTTTTTTTTTTGCAGAACCGGGGATTGAACTCAGGCCCTTGCGCTTGCCAGGGGAGCACTTATTCCACTGAGCCATCCCTCCGGTCCCTGTTGCTTTTCTTATAGAGAAAATTTAGATGTATTTTCAAAAGCTTAAGCCAGGCATGGTGGCACACCCCTGTAACCCTACCACTCTGAGAGGCTGAGGCAAAAGGATCATGAGTCTAATCTGAAAGACTCAGTGACATCCTGTACCCACACTCCCCAAAAAAAGGTGGGGCTATAGCTTGGTGCAGAAACCCTGGGCTCAATTCTTAGGATTACCCCCCCCCCAAAAAAAAAAAAAGAAGAAAAAGAGGAGAGAAAAAGTTTTAAAATAATTGCTGCCTTGCCTTCCCTATGAGTAGTTTGTTCCCATCCCCTGTCTGTTTTTCCTTACCAATTTATAGCACCTTAGACATGTTAGGGAGCTAGTCTCCTCCTTGTCTGGTGTTTGCAATTTTTTTCCCCACATCTGTTATGGATTTTCTGCATTGGTCAAGTGGAGCCATCTTTCCTCTTGAGGTTCTTAGATTGGGCATGTGAGACAGAGACTCGCAGGTATTGATCAGTCAGGGGTTGTAGTGCCCCTTGGCCTCCCACCACAGCTCCTGATCTGGCTACCCAGGTGCTCTCCTCATTGTACAGAGACCTGAGGCAGAGAGAGAGATCCAGTCACTTGCCCAGAGCACACACTGAGTAGCAGACAGTCTCTGCTGCTCCACTACCACCCCACTACAGGGGAGTTTGGCACCTGCTCTCTCTTGGTCCTCTTTCCCTGGCAGGTGAAACTTAGCCAGGTTAACCACCCACTGCCTGCACCTGTGCAACCTCAGAGGCCAGTTTTTCTCTGAAGCCCAGTGGAGACCTTTTTTAAGCAGCACTTGAGCCATGCAGTGTAGTGTCGTGGCCGAGCAGCGACGGTTAGCCTTGCTTGGTCCTGGCTCCCTGCTTTCTAAGCCTGAGGCTCCTCATCTGTCCAGAAGGGTTCTTGGCAGGTAAGGGCTGAGGACGGAGTTACCTGGTACCTGTGAGTGCTGAGATTAGTGCCTGCATGGGAGAAGCACACACAAGGGTCTGTTGATCCATGGTTTAGGGATGAGGGGAGATAGGGACAAAGACTAGATCCCAGCTCCCTCCTGCCAGCTGCAGCTTGTGATCCTCATTGTAGCCCACCACCTGCCAGGGAAATAACCAGAGATGCGGGCAAAGGTTCTCCACAAAAGTGAGTTTTATGATGTCGGTTATAAGGACAGGAAACTGAGAGCTTCCTTCAGGGCCCAGCAGCCCACGGAAGTGGTCCAAGGATTGTGTGGGGACCGGTGTGGCTGCAGCTGTCTGAACAGAGCTCCTGCTGCTGGAGTCCCTTTAGGCCAGCAGACATTAGGAGCCTACTCTTTTGTTTTTTTGGAGACAGGGTCTCGCTGTGCCTTGAGCTCGCTATGTAGCCCTCACTGGCCTCCTGCTCTGCCTCCTGAATAGTAGGAGTACAGGTATGCACTACCACGCCTACCTGGAGCCTGGTTTTTACATGATACGGTGGGAGTCACAAAACAAGACCTCAACCCACCAACCAGTAGCTCTGTCTAATGGAGGAAAGAGGTGTGACAGATGAGGGTAGAGCTACAATGGAGTGATAGGAAGATGTGACAGGAAGAGAGGAAGAGGAGTGGGGCCTGGGGTGGAGTCTTGAAGGCAGGTGTGACTTCTGCAGGCCAGAGGCAGCGTCTAGTTGGAGACAGCAGGTGATGCCACAGCCACCGTCCTGGCGCTCCATTCACAGGGCTGCTCCAAGTCAGCAATTTTGGGGTACAGGCCTGAGCTAGGCAAGCCAGACCCACCTCAGGAGAGTGAGCAGCCTGTGTGCAGAGGGTTATCTTTTGGCAAAGGGAAATTCCTACTAAGAAATTCCTACTAGGAATTTCTTTTTTTGGAGGGGGGTACTGGGAATTGAACTCAGGACCTTGCACTTGCCAGGCAGGTGCTTATTGCTGCTGAGCTATATCCCTGGCCCTTCTACTAGAATGGAGCTCGCAGGCCTAGTGTGGCCCAGGGGCCTTCCCATCTTCTAGCTCAGTCTTGTCCTCACAGCAGTCTCTCAGGCAACAGGATGGAGGTGCTCAGGAAGGAGGATTCTGAGGCTTTCATTACATCTTATTTTTGTTTGTTTTTGAGGCCGGATCTTTTTGTGTGGCTCAGGCTGGCCTCAAACACAGTCCTCCTGCCTCAGCCTCCTGAGTGCTGGGATTATAGGTGTGCGCCTCGTTAGCTGGCTGGTTGCACAGCTTTGACGGCCAAGTGTCCTGCTTTTACAGCCTCCCTGGGGAGACCTTGCCCTCAAGGAGGATATGGTGGGTGAATCAGTTCCCTTGGCACCACCGCTCCCCAAGGTTGAAGGTAGGCAGGTATGGGCTGTGCACCTCCATCTCACGGAGGAGGAACATCTTCCGCTTCACCCTCAGCCTCCTATGGTCACCGCCACCCACTGTCCCTACATCACAGGCAACGAGGATTTGCAGTGAGTTGGAGCATGTGAGAGACAAAAGCAGAGAAAGACTGACAGTTCTTGACTCTGCCCACAGGCAGAGGCTGGGGTGGCAGTGACTCCCGGCTGCAGTTTTGCTGGTCTGTGGGCCTGTGTGTGTGTGTGTGTGTGTAAACTGGTGTAATGTGTCCTTACCCACCTCCTCTCCCTTCTCCTCCCCTTCCTCTCCCCTCTCTTTCTTCCTTTCCCTAGGCTGGCCCTTCCTCCTTTTTTCTAGCCCTCCTGAGACCACAGTGGGAAGGAGGTTTCAGACCTGCAGGAGCCTTTGAGATCCCATAACCTTCCCCACTACACTAGGACTGGTGCCTGCTTCTAGTGGTGGGGGTGCCCCACCTGCATGGTAGTTCTGGGCAGGTCAGGAGGTTTCCCCAACACATAAAATAGAGATAAAGGACACTTTCCCTCTACAGTAGAGATGCCTTGCTCCTGGGAGACATGTGTGGTACACTCAGCTTTGTCACCAGCCATCTAGTGACAGGCTGAGGTCGGGGAAGGCTCTTCATTTGCAGGAATCAGTAGATCCAAAGAGGATTTTTTTGTTGTTGTCTTTGTTTTTGTATTTTAGGGAAGGGTCTATAGGATTTTCAGGGTCTCACTGCTAGATCAGACTTGTAGTGATCCTCCTGTTTTCAGCCTCCCAAGAGCTGGGATTACAGGCATGTGCCACCACACCCAGTCTCAACTGCCATCTCAGTGTGCCCCGGGGTCGGGGCTGGCACAGCAGGCCTGGGGATCGAACCCCTGGCCCCTGCACCTGCTTACAGGCGCTTTAATCCGCTGAACTATTTGGCCTGCCCCCAAAGAGTTTCCTTTGAGGGACTTGTAGCTAGGTGAAGCCTTTGTCCCGTCCTCTGGGAGGAAGTTAGGCTGGTCGCTGTGGTGAGCAGACAGTGCTTGTGGGAAGGCTTGAGTCAGAGAAGACAAAGAGCCAAGCAGGCACCAGCATACTGGTCAGGACTTGGCTCAGGTTTTATGAATCTTGCCGTGTGGCCACACACACATACCACTGCTTCAGCTTGTCTCGGCAGCTTTCAAAGTAGGGACAGCATCCCCAGTTAAAGATGAGAAAGCAGTGCAGTGCAAGTGCCTGCTTGGCAAGCACAGGGTCCTGAGTTGGATTCCCAGGACCAAAATAAACAAACAAAAAAAGATAAGGAAGCTGAGGTCTCCACCTTCTAAATCCAAGACTGGTGTCTTTCTGCTGCCTCATGAGCATCTCCCTGGCCCCAGATCCCATCACTGGCCTCGAGTGTATGTTCATAGCATGCCTTGCTAGCCATTCCTGCAGCTAAAGGACATTTAGATTATTTATAGTTGCTACCATTTGTGATGATACTTAATTGGGGTGCATTTTTGAACTTCCTGTGTTGGCTTAAACACTGTGGCTTTGACTGTATCTTAGAAAGTAGCTCCCTGAAAAAGAAAAAAAAAAAAGTACTCCATCTCTTTGGTTGGGCTGCACTACTGGGACCTCTGGGCCTGAAGACTAACCCAGGCCCTGGACGCTGGCTGTCTCTCTGCAGGAGGAGTGGAAGCGCATCCAACAATTGGGTGGCTATGTGGTTTTCCTGGACTGCTGGAGAGTCAATTCAACCCTGGCCGTCTCTAGAGCCATCGGTAAGTGGAGTGCAGAGGCTAGTAGTGTAGGGTAAGGCAAGGCCTCCAGCTGTGGCCAGGGGCTCACCCAGGCCTTTAGGACAGTGTTGTGTGAAAAAAGGATTTGCAGTATGCAGAAGCTCCCAGCTTAGAATGGGAGTACTTTCAAATAAACCCCTAGTGAGCTAAAAATGTGCTTAAGGCACCTAACCTAGCAGACATCCTAGCTTAGCAACATAGTCTGCTGTGGAGTGTCAATGGTTTGCCCTTGTGGTCTGGGGTCAACCAGAAGCAGCAGTTCACTGCTGTTGTCCAGTTTCCAGAGAGGGTCTCAGGCCACTTGCCACTAACCCAGAAAAAGATCAAAATTCAAACTGGAATTTCTGTTGAATGTGCATCACATTCACACCATTGTAAAGTTAAAAACCTAAGTCGCATCATAAACTGGAGCCTGTCTATACTAGGGTTATGTCATTAGCCAGCTTGTGACCGGAATGGAGCAGATTTGGAGTCCACAATTGTGAGTATTGTAAATATCAAGAAACATTCAGGGGCCAGGAAGATGGCTTAGTAGAATAAGCACTTGCCTGGCAAGTACAAGGGCCTGAGTTCAATCCTCAGTTCTGCCAAAAAAAAAAGAAAAGAAAAGAAGAAAAAAAACATTCATCTCCTACCAGTAATTGCAGTTGTTTTATATCTATCTATTTATCTATCTATCTATCTATCTATCTATCTATATTTTTTTGGGGGGGCTAGTATGGCATGTGGAGCTTGGGATCGAACTATGGTCCTCTGCACCTGACTGAATTTGCCCCCAAGCAGGCACTTTAAACAGCTGAGCTAACGTGCAAGCTTCAAGTTATATATTCTTTTTTTTTTTTCAGAACCGGGGATTGAACTCAGGCCTTTGTGCTTGCCAGGCAAGCGCTTATTCTACTGAGCCATGTCCCCAGCCCCTCAAGTTATATATTCTTAACTCTTCAATAAACAGGTCCCCTCCACATCCTTGAGCTAGCTACTAAATGGACTAGAAGAAAAGTTTCATAAATGAGGTTACTACCTCCATTTATATTAATGATGCTTTTTCATTTTTGGAGGGATAGCAATTCCTTTGCACCATCCTCCATCCCATTTTCTCAGTATTCTATACCTGCTGGGTCTCAGCCAAGAGACCATACCTGCCCCTTCCAAGTATAGTATTTAAAAATCACTCCCTCCAGCTTTGGCCCCTGCCCCTGTCACTGTCCTTAAGTGTCCTGTCCTTGGCAAGTGCAGCATCTTCCTTATAGCCTATTCATGCAGCTGTCATTGTATCTCTGGACACATGAGGAAGATAGGCTCATAGACCATGGCCGGTGGGGTTCACTCTGAGGGGGGTGGGAAGCATGGATGGGTTCCTATCTGGGCCAGGGTCTGTGGTGGGCTAGTGAAGAACAGGAGTAAACAGGCCCTCTGACGTGAGCTCTTTTCTTCCTGTACCTAGGGGATATATCCCAGAAGCCCTATGTGTCTGGGGAGGCAGATTCAGCTTCCCGGGAGCTGACTGGCTCTGAGGACTACCTTCTGCTCGCCTGTGATGGCTTCTTTGACTTTGTCCACCTTGAGGAAGTCGCCAGCCTTGTTCACAGTCACCTGGTCAAACAGGAGGGCAATGGTCTCCGTGTTGCTGAGGAGCTGGTGGCTTTGGCCCGGGAGCGAGGCTCCAATGACAACATTACAGTTGTGGTGGTCTTCCTTAGGGACCCCCGAGAGCTGCTGGAGGGCGGGGTCCATGGGGCAGGGGACTCCCAGGCAGATATGAAAAGCCAGGACTTGCCCTCTGGCCTCTCAAATCCCAAGACCGACACTCCACAGAAAAGCTAGGTGGTCCAGGTCCCCCATCACCCCACCCCGACCCTTCCCTCCACCCCTGTGATTCTCCTCAGAGGTCTTAGGACTTGACAGTCTATAGTGGGCAGGATGTACCCACCCACACAATGCTTGCTGCAGTACCCCAAGACCGCTGGCGGTATGTGCCTACAGCCTGTTCTGGTAACTGCAGAACTGCTCCAGGCAGGGCTCAAAGCAGGCATAGGAAAAGACCTTATCAACGTGAAGATGATCCAGCAAGTCGCCTGGCTCTTTCCTACCTCTCATTAAGGCAGGGGTGGGCCCAGAAGTAACAGACACCTGGTAGCAGCCTGACCAAAGACAGGGTGTGCATCTGGAGCGCGGGGGTGTGCGTGTATGTGGAGCCTCCAACAGATCTCGGGCACATCCTGGGGTCAGGTCACGTAGGCATGGATTGCAGCCTAGCTCTCTCATTGTTTCTCACCATGGCCTTAGCTATGGATGGCCATGGTGGGAGGAAGGATCGTACTGATGGAGAGGCCTGGCAGGTCCCGGTTGACCACGTTGGCTTCCCAAAGAGGAGAGGACAACCTCCCTGGAGAGGGAGGCCAGGGATCGGGTCCACAGCTGCCAGCGGCCACCCACGATGTGCTAGGGCCCACAAGATCCTCTTCCTGCTTCCCTTGAGCACCCTGGAGAGGTGAGGCTCTGCACTTAGTGGCACAAGATGTGTGTGTCATTTGTGTGTTTGGGTTTTATTCCAGGAAAAGTCTAATTCAGAAGCAGTATTTCAGATTTTGTTTTTGTTTTGTTAGTGCCAAGTTGACTCACAGTGTCATATAATTTAAGCAGAGCTTAGTGTTTATTTCTTGGAAAATTTATTTACTTTTTGGGTTGGTTTTTTTGTTTGCTTATTTTCCTATTTTGGAAATGTTTTCATTGCAGTATTACTGAATTTTTTTTTTTTTTTTTTTTTTTTTTTTTTTTTTTTTGTAAATCAGGATTGAAACAGAAACTTTTCTAGGTGGTGTTAATAACCCACTTAAGTGCCTTAAACGGCTGTGAGATGAGACCTGCCCGCCTGCCGGGGCTTCTGACAGGCCTGCTGAAGTTCTTACAGAAACAGCATTTGTTTTGCTAGGAGAGTGTGATTTGGGCTAGAAATCTTCCTGGAGTTCTTTCCCTCGTTTTTGTTGCCAGGCACCCCCAAGAGCCTTCCAGGGGTGATTGGCAAGAGCCATGCCACGGGTGGGACTGCTGCCTGCGCCCTGCTGTGTTGGCCTCTGATTGGATCCCAGAGTAACCTTACTGCTACTTGAGTAGAATATTCTGGAATATCTTTTTGTATTTGTAATCACACTGGTTTCTTCAGTGGGAGAAAAAACGCTTTAGAGGCTCTGAGAAGGCTGGAGGCAGCCCAGGGTCTTGGCTTTGTCTCGAGGCCAGGGTGGGATGCTGCTGGCAGTCTGACAGCATTGGCCACAGCCCCTCATCCCCCCACCCCCAGGCTGGTGTCCTCCCCTGCACGGCTTTGTCCTGTAGCTGCAAGGAGGAAGGGCTCCATGTTCCCTTGAATACTAGGAAGTTGAGGCTCAGAAGTGGTGATCCTTGGGTGTCTCCAGGAGCATGCATAGCACGTGCAGAGTTGAAAGTGACAGGACTGGGGAGGCAGCCAAGCAGAGGGCAGGGACATGGCAGGAAAGAAGGGCCCTGGAGGCCCTTGGAGAGCAGCCTCAGAGGGAGGGGCTGAGTAGCAGTAGGACTGCTCCCGCAGAGGTCCAAAGGGCAGTGGCTGGCTTAGCTAAGGCTTGTGACAGGGACACTAAGAGGAAGCTTGGCCATGAGATCCCCACAGAAGTGATCAGAGTCCACCTGCAGATAGCAGGGCACCAGGAAGCTGTGCAGAGTTGTGCTGAGTGCACCTTGCCCTTCTCCCAGCTTAAGGAAAGGACAGGTTTGCACAACCTCCCTAGCCAAGACTACATCTGCAGGAAGGGCAGAGCTGGCCCTGGTGGCTCCTCAGCTACAGCAGGGCTTCAGGAAGTGAAACCATACTGCTAAGGTCTTGCCTAGTCTCCTGAGGGCCACATCGTAAGTGTTGCCATTCAGAGACTGGTTGGCCACCAGTAGTGACAGCATTGCTTAGCTTAACTTAAAGGCCCTGCTGCCTTCTGAGAGCCAAAAGGCAGGCTCCCTCCTGAGCTCTCCGCAGAGGGCTGGGCAAGATGCAGGGATGTGGCTCTACCCTTTGCTACTAGCCCATCCTGCTCATGGCAGTGACCTTGACTGAGAGGGAGTTTGGGCTTGTTTTGCTTTGCTAATCTTACTCTATTCATTGCTGCCAAGAGAGTTGTACCCCAGTGATATTTGGACCTTCGCCTTTGCTGGTCTGCTTTATTCTCTGGCCTGAGGTTCTGCCAGACCTCCTCTCATGCTTGGTAATGGGGAAGCCCCTTCCCCACACTTGTCTGAACACTTACCCTCCCCCTGAGCGGGGCTGCCCTGCCATGGGGATAGCCAAGGCCCTGCAGGCAGAGGTCTGGGCTGCCATTGGGGTTGGCCAGGGATTGGCCTGACACTAGCTTCTGGACAGAGAAAGTCCTCCTTGCCAGGGACTCCATTCTGAAAAATCTGAATCCCATTTCAAAGACCAGCTTTGGCATCGGCTCAGTATCTAAGCTGAGCAAGTCTTTGCACCTTGCTGGGCCTCTGTTTCCCTTTTGTTAGGCATAGGGGTTGCACAATGTCTGCCGTGGTTCCAACCGGGAATTCTGGAAATGTAGGGGCTACTCGAGGTGAGCCTGGCACATCCTGGGGAGATGCTGCCAGCACTGAGGGCGCCTCCCCTCTTGCCAGCGGGAGGGGTGATTAAGTATTATTAGTGTCTATTCTTAAAATTAAGTGGGTTGGAAAAGAATCAACTTACAGATGCCAGCGCCTTATATGGAATACAAAAGCCGGAGAAATCAAACCCTGCTTTTACAGGTGCTGCTGAATTTCAGCTGAGTCCTGCAGGGTGGTAGAATTAGGAGCAGGGAGGCATAGCGAATTTTCAAGCAAAATTCAAGCTCGAAAGTGTGTTCTAGGGGTGTAAGGACATGGTGTGGGTGTCACAGCCTGTGGGGTCTCAGGCTCCCTGAGACCTTGACTAAGCCCCTGCCACTGACCATGGTCTGTTTCCTGCCCTCCAGAGGCAGCATGCAGTCCCCGTCCTTACCCTCCCCTGCCATGGCATGTTCTAATGTGGGCATCCCGGCTACCTCAGCAGTATTTCTAGGACCAGGAGGCCAGCTCTGGTCACTCCTGAGGCCTGGTCCCTAACCCAAGCTGCCTGGAAGCCAGGTAGACCTGTGTAAAATAAGCTGTGTTTCTGATTTAATTTGCCTCCATAGTCCAAAAGGGGTTAGACCCTGGAGTTCTGTGCTTTTGCTGAGACTCCTCCACTTTGCCAAATGCGCCGAGCTTTGCCATTCACGTGCCATATGGGCCTTGCCAAAGGTTTTTCTGTGCATACTTGGGGGGCTTCCTGGGAGTTATGTTCTTGCATAGCAGGGGATCTTGCTTCAAGACATGACTGTTGCCCTGGTCTTGGGGACAAGTTCCAAGGTGAAAGGACCAAAAGGGTGGTCTCTTCCCAGGAGCCCACCATGCTGAAGTGTCAATAAACCATGAGTTCCGAGACTTTGTCACTAAGTCCTGCTTTCTTCTCACATCTGAGTTTCTGGTCCACATGGCTGTCCAGGGCATACTTGGAGGCTGCTGAGGCATTGGGAGACTATTTGCAAACTGCCCTGCAAAATATCCTGTCTAGGCAGCCTGGCCTGGTTTTCTTCCTGAGGTGCCAAGCCTACCCCCATCAGCAGCAAGAGGATAGCTAGAGAGGTGAGGCCCCTGGTACCTCACACAACAGTGGGGAGCTTCAGGAGACTCCAGTGGCCCTGCCTTTCAGTCAGAATCTGGAAGTCCCCAAGCTCTTTGCTGCTGGGGATGCCCTGCATCCAGCGCTGACAGAAGTGAGCCCACCATGGGAGGAATGCCTTCACCATGCCTGCTGACCTGTTCAGGCTAAAATCAAAGCACTAAGCATTCCTTCTGCCACCATTCCTATTGCCTGCCTGGCATTCTGTCCTTTCTGCATGTAGCACTGTCTTAGATACCCAAACCAGGATGAGCTGTCTGCTGGAGTGAGGCCTTCACAGGGTGAGGGCAACAGCACCTTCAGGGAACCTGGGGCACATAGTAGGGAGCTCAACTTGCGCCTGGAAATCCCAGCAATGAGTCTACTGCTGGTAATTCCTAAGAGGCAAGATTTGGTGGGGGCTTTTTTCCCCCTCTACCTTTAGGTTCTCTAAATTCTAATTTTTTTTACACAGTAAATATTTTGAAAGTTTTTACAGCTGAGTGTGGGATTTTACACCTGTAATCCCTGCATTCTTAGGACACTAAGATAAGATCAGAAGTTCAAGCCCAGCCCCTGCCTCAGAATTAAAAATTAACACAGGCATGAGGCCCTGGGTAACCGGGGCCTTTAGTATCACCAAGGGTGAAGAAGAAGATAAAAAGCTTTGACAAACAGTCCAAGGGAGCTCAGCCAGTAGTAAAGGGGTTGGCAGGGAGGCTGCCAAGGATCTTGGTGGAGACCAGGGAGTCCAGATCCATTGGGTTGGAGGAATCCAGACTGAAGCTACAAATGGCTCAGCCTGGGCAGGCCCCTCCCTGTAGCGGGCTTCACTCGGCTTCAATTTGTTTGTTTGTTTTCCCAGAACTGGGGATTGAACTGAGGTCCCTGTGCTTACCAGGCAAGTGCTTATTCCACTGAGCCAACTCCCTGGCCACTTGGCTTCAGTTTGGGGCAAGCCTCACCATTCATGGTGAAAAGGGCCCAGAACTGGCAGTCCCTTTGTGATCAGAGGGACTGGCTCCTTGAGACTGCCTGAGCAGGTGATGAGAACCTTCCTTAGGGCCACTACAGCTGACCTGAAGGGAGCCCTTCACAGGGGCCTCCTGACTGCTGCCCTCTGTTCCAGAACTGTGACTCCCAACACTGACTTCTAACCCAGAAGTTATGTTGGTTGCCAACAGCAAGATGCACTGTGGTGGGTGTTTAGCAGGCTGGATTCCCAGGGGCGCTTGCTCTACCAGAGACTTGGGTGCAGTGCACACACACGGTCCAGCAAGGCTGTGACCCCCAGTTTGTGTGAAACTGCACTTTGAGACAAACTTGATCCCCTTCCCAATGTCCTGAGGGAATCAATACTGTCATTTTAATTCTAAATGTCTTGGAAATAGCCCATCATGGGACTCAGTCATCCAGTCCTTGAGTAGCCATTGGCCTGGCATCTTGCCACACTGCTCCCAACACTCGGGCGAAGCAGCCCACGGAGCCAACCACCAAATCACCACTTAAGGCAGAGTGGGATTCACTTTAACACATGGGGATCAAGTGCCAAGGGGCTAAGGGGCCAGTATAAGGTGTGAGCCTCAGTGTCACTTTTTAGAGTCCCCCAAATTTGTAGCTCTTGCCATTTGGTCTTTGATTTTTCTCAAGCATAAGAGAAAAGTCAGCAGCCAGCTAGGAGACCTCAGTCTATGCTGCTGGCGAAGCTCAGGCCTTGAAGGAACAAAGAAAGGGCCGGCCTGGTAGCTCAGCAGACTAAAGTGCCTGCTTAGGCAGAGCCAGCCCCACCCACGGGGTGCACTTAGAGAGGGACTGAGACTGGGTGTGTTGACCCACACCTGGCAATCCCTGCGCTTGGGCAGCTGAAAACAGGTGGATCACTGGGAGTCCAATCTACATAGTGAGACCCTGGAGACCCTGTCCTGCACACTGCAAGGAAGGCCACTTTATCTTCCTCTGTTCTGTCACAGAGTGGGCATCCTTGGAAAAGCAAGGTAACTAGCCCAGGAGGCGATTCTGTCAGTGTGCAGGCTGGGGTTCCCCACCAGTC